AATGCTAACCAAATTGAAAATCTGTGGTCACGTCTTAAGCATGCCTATCGAAAACGTGGCATTAATAAAAGGAGAATTGATTTTTTTAAATGAATGGCAATCAATAAAGGAAACGAAACGTCTAAAACAGCGTAACAAGATGCTTAGGACTGCATTGTATAGACAATTAAAAATGTTTAGATTTTAATTTTTTTTAGCCAATCATTTTTTAAAAAATTATAATAATTCTTTTTAAAAAACAGGGGGGTGGGAAGATGAAGTAGTGCCAAAAAAGCGATGTGAGGCTGTGGCTATGGTGCGAGCTGGGCTTGCGACATTGAATAATTTTGTCTCTTGGGTTTTATTGGTGCTTAATATTTACATACACCAATTATTTGATTCCGATATTCTTTGGCCATTTTATCCCGTTTCCACTTGCAATCTCTTTTTAAAACACCTACAATAGAGTCTTCTTTCGATAACTGCCTGCATTAAATTTTTTTTAAAAAAGGGTAAAATATTATAAAAAAATAATAATTTTTAAATTTTTATTTGAAGCTTAGTGTTTTCTTTCATATTTGACTCATTTCTTCAGTGACACCACCGAACAAATTTGGTGATAGACTCAGCCCTTTCCCATTCTCTGGTACATTTTTGTCTCTTTCTCTCCGGTATTCCAACGAGATATTCTCAAGAGTCTTCTTAAGTGTCACCGATTGGATGTAGGCCTCAACAATTCGGCCTGAAACATCTAGCCTTTTTCTGTACTTTGTATGATATTTGGTAACTATACCGCCCCATGTTAGCACGTGGGGATTGTTTTCGTTTACATCCATGTATTAATCCAAACCTACTGGCCAGAAGGTCGTGTTTCTTCAATTTTTCCGTTTCTACTTGATGCAGATCATCTATCGAGGTGATACCCATTTCTACAATAAGTATCTCCTTTGACTTCTTGTTTATAACCACAATGTCTGGTTTATTATATTTAATCTTGATGTCTATTTTAATTGTAGTGTCGACTCGTGTTTTTTACGAATCTATTAGCAACGACCCTCTGTACTGAATAGGTTCTAAGGGTCCTGTCCGGTTGTTCAATCTTGTATTTCTTGCATAAATATTAATACATTACAAAAAAATAATTTTTTGCCCATGTTGGCGCAGTTATCAAAAGAAAAGAAAATATTTAATTTTGCAAGTTCTCTCGACTCCAACTCATCATCATACTTTTTTTCTTATATTCTTTTTTTATTCCACCTAAAATTCAACCTACCTACTTTTCTAAGACAACCCAAATTTAACCCATCTGCCTACTTATCTAAGATATATATAATATTATTTTTATCTTTTTTATACACCTTACTTTTAAATATATGTATAAAACATTATATTCTACTTGCTTGGTCTTTCAATCAAGATACTTTTTACTCTTTATGAGAAGGGGGTTAAAGATAAAGTTTTTATTTGTATGAATAAGTTTGAAAAATTTTGTTATCAAATAATATTATATCAACAATAGTGATCTGTGATAATTGTAGAGAATTATGTCATTTGAAGGGACCAATCACCGATTTAACTATGATACTGTATAAATGCCCAAAGGGTAGGTGTCAAAAGTGACATTATTTATTTCGCTCTCGGATCCTTCTAACAAATGTTGTGCATTTGATTTATCTCCTCATGCTTGATACAAGCCGTAGTCGAATCAATCATTTTTTGTTTGTATCCGACTCTACATTGCAAGTCATAAGGCTCTGCTTCTAGACGCATATGGGATCTATATACAACAGAGACTCGTTCTCTTGGGCGGATCGGGTATTATTGTTGAAGTTAACGAGGTTGTTTTTTTCTTTGCCCCACAACCACAGATGATACTATTCTCGATACGGTTGGGAACTCGGTGGTATTGATAGAACACCCCCAGCGAATTTTTTTCTTGCAAGGGTTAAAAATAGAACCATTGACAACATACCACAGCTATGCATAAGATTATCATTGATAGAAGCGTTCTTTACGCGGATAAACGCTCGTCGTATCCGCCTACTGCTTTTGCGTTAGGAGTCGAACACCGCTGGGTAAATCATTGTGTAGGGTTTAGAGGAGACAATGGTACACATACAAATACCATAGAGGGATTT